ACCGCCTCTTATCGACTAAGCCGTTCGTAGGTTACACGACATATCCCATCGACAAGCGACAGACTCGCCGTTTCGCTCGTGTCAACAGGAAATAAAAACGAAATACCCAAAAAATGCGAAAAATGGCAATCTAAACCTACCTCGGGTAGGTTAATTAAAAATATCGGGAAAGCAATTTTGCTTATATTTAAGTATCTAAAAAACCAACCTATCCTAATATAAGAATGGCCCTAACCCTAAAGTTAAATTTAATAAATATAAACCCCGAAAGGGAAAACCTTATGTCGATCATTGCTGATTTTAGAAAAACTTAAAAAATTCGAATAAACATAGAGAAACCAGAAAAATGGTAAATAACTCAAGATTTTACTATGACAACCACTGTTTGAACTCTAAATAAAAGTTTTTAGCACGAAATTTTGGTTATAAAAATACATTTAAATATCGAATATCGAGTAAATTAAAGCCTGCACTTAATTTTGATTTTTATGCTCTTTTGATATGTTGATCGACATAACCTTTTACATATTTCTAATTTGCACAACTTCATTAACACTCATTTTAGGGAATTTTGATAGAAATCACACCAGTGCTATGTTACGTTATTCCCAAATCTGTAATGCGCTAAATCATCAAATGAATTAAAATCTATAAACGTGTGATGTAAAATATTGTATAAGAACTCCATGAATAACCCTTGGTGACTTAGGTGGACAATTTAATGTTGGATTCTGCTACCAAAAAAGCATAGGTACAGCTAAGGATGAAAAGAAAGCATTTAAATGTCATTCAAAATCTGCTGAAGTTGGCAGTTCAAAAGCACAATTCAATGTTCGATTTTGCTATGGTGAAGGCATAAGTACAGCCAAGAATAAGGAAAAGGCATTTGAGTGGTATTTAAAATCTGCAGAAAATGATGATTAGCTGGACAATTTAATATTAGATTCTGCTACCAAAAGGCATAGTACTGTCAAGAATGAAAAAAAATGCTTTTGATGGTGCTCATTTTTATTTGCGTCGTTTACAACATGTGCGGGGCCAATACATTTGAATAGTAATTGTATAATGGTATTATAAGGAAGATATTTTTTATTTGAATAAATGATCAGTAAATACAAGAAAAGTTAAAAACATTTGTCGAAAATGATATCTACTAAAAAATATCCCATCGATAAAAAATTTAATGAAAAATGTTAAAATAGGCTTCTTGTTTTCTCACATGCACAGAGTGAAAGGGGTTAAACCAAAGGACGACCTTTAAAAAGCAACAAATGGTACTTCTTGAACAGCTCGTTTAATTTCAACAGGGTGAAGAGACTGAATAATAAGATTATCTCTTTTAAGGGAGGATATTTCTGAGGAAAGTTGAATACATTCCTGCTCAAGCGAAACAGCTAGCTTATCAAGATACTTAAGATTTTTAATGAGCATTTCACGTTTAGCGCGATAAGCACGATTCTTGCGTGCATGATTTTTGCGTGCACGATTCTTGCGTTCACGATTTTTGTAATCCTTGCAAGGACTATGAGTATTATTAGACAACATTTTACGTTAAGTTTTTCTTTTTTTTTCTCAATAATATTCCTACTTTTATTTATTAGTTGTGCAGAGATTTATTTGGGGAACGTTAAAGCCAGGTACCAGTTAGGATTACTTTTTTGATTCAGTTAGGTTAGCGGGTTATATAGACATCAAGAATACAATTTATGCAGCATGTAATTATCAATTCAATCAATATCAAGAGATCTTAAGATGTGTAACATTATTTTGCTAAAAAAATACTAATTGAACAGTACTAATTGTACTTTGATTATTTATGATCGTCACTAAACACAAATATTAGTCATTTCGTTAAACGTGACATCCACCCGCAGAATCTACGGACAGTGCTTAGGGACAGCGCGATCACATGATATAATATGAAATCCCTCCTCTAACCGCTAAATAGCCAATCACAACTTAAACACGTGATTTTGCACTGTCCCTAAGCACTGTCCGTAAATTTCCCGGGTACCACCGTTATCACGGTCACGCACAAAAAAAATCTGTGCCAGGTTTTGTCGATCATTATGGCGCAGATTGTCAATCTACAAATCATATTTCAAGGATCAGGTGTAACGTAACACGATCAGAAAAGTTCAAAACAAACGTTCGTTTTGTCAAAGATTGCTTATTTCTTAAAAACTGCATAAAAAACCACTTTTAGTGCTCTAACAGAAGGTTTTCCTTGAGCAATTTTACTATATAACTATTCATTATTTAACTTATTCTAAACGCTAACCCGAACGTTAATGAACTTTAACCAATTTTGCTGCGCCACCAACCTGGCACAGAATTTTTTCGTGCCACGGTCACACGTGACCGTGATCGATCGTCGCATTTAGGTCCCGTCGCCTGCCCGAGTAACTGATCACATGAAAAGTAAGAGAAATCTTACTTTTATTACTTTTATTACTTTTGTTACTTCGGGTAGATCGACGGCATATAGGACATTCGGTTTTTCTTTATTATAGTGGGGAAAAGGGTTTTAATGATGACATCGTGTAAATAGATAATGTAGAGGAAATTAACCTCGAATGTACATAAAACTTTTATTATAAATAAAGGGCTTTCCGCCCAGGGTAGAAGTTAAACTATAACCCAACACAAATTAATAAACTATCGGTAAACCTCTCGTTATCCATATCGTTCGACCATTTGTAGCCCACTAAACCGCATTTTGATCGTTCGCCGCAAGTCACGTGACCAAGCCGTTAATGCAAGAGAAGAACTCCAACTCCGATTCGACGTATCGTAACCACAAGTTAAGCAAGTAGAAAGGAGATAAAAGAAGGTAAAGAGTTAATAGAAAGTAGGTTGAAGGAAAGACTTAGAAGAGAAGATTAGTACTTATCTACAGATAAACCACTCAGTCAAATCTAACACACCTATTTCGACTAAGTTACTGTAGATTATGTGAGAGATGGATTAGTTTAGTGACAGACTCATCAATTTACTGAACAACAATTTGTTATTATAATTACAACAAGATTTGAATATCAGGTACATCATATGACAGAATATCAAGTACATCATATGATCAGAATAATATAAAAATTGGTGAGAGTGTCTACTGTTATGGTGGTAATGAAAGTGTGATGATAGGATTTGTACCAGGCTGTATAAAACTTAGAATTAGTACAAGTCTTTTATTTGTTTTTTTTTTTGTTTTTTTAGAATAAAGCCTAGTCTTAGTTTTTATTAAACAATTTGGTATTATATTAATAAAAATATGTTAAATAAATTATTATATAAATCTATAACTAGGACTAATTAATTTTCAATCTAAAACTCTACTAGAGTAGACTGTCAGACCTCTTCTAGGTTTAGTATTGCAATGTAAAATATAGATATATTAGTAATAAAAAAAATAATTGTTTATTTTTCATATTTTGTTGCAACTGCTTGGTCTGCAGTTGGCTGTTTTAGAATTGTAATTGTTAATATCTTTGTTAGTAGGTTGTTTTTATGCATTGCTATTTGTTTATATTTGTTTGTAAATATTATTTAATATTTTATAAAATAAAATAATAAACATGTTTGAATTAATATTGCTAATTGTAGGTAGATTATTTAAAATTAGACCTTGTAGTCTAAGAAGGTTATGTATATTGTTTGATGTTTGAAGAGTTATTGTAATAAAATAGATATGTTTTGTAGTTTTGATTTTGTTTTTAGTAAGAAATTTAAAAGTAGTTTGTTAAATTACTTTATTTAAAGATATAGAGTTTGCTATGCATTTTAGCCAATAAGAGTTGTTTTTAATATATATAATACAATGATTACAAATAGAATTAGTATATGTTTTGGATGTAAATTAAATAGTGTTAGTAGTTTATTTAGTAAAAATTTGATTTTGAAACTTTTTAATTGTAAGTATTTGAGATGGATAGTACAAATATTAGTTTTGTTATTATAATTAAGAAATTTGTATATTAAGTTCCAATTAGTATCTTTACAGATATCATTTTAGTATTTGGCTCTGTTAAAGATATGCTATTTTGCAGTATTTGTTGCATTTTGTATGTATTGAATAAAATGACAAGTTTTGTTTTCAATTAATGTATTGTTTTAGATAAAGTAAAAGTTGTTGTTATTAAGTGCATATGATTAAATATACAATTTGTATTATTGTATTTTGGTAGACAAGTAAGTTGTTCTGTTATATAGAGAGTAGTTATCAAAATGCTTAATATAAATGCCTTTGATTTTAGAGTCTTTATAGACAATTATAGTTTGTAGTAGTCCAATAGTTATTTTTTGAATGATAAGAGTAGAATTGAATATTAGTATAAGAAAGAAGTTGATGTAGTTAGTTGTTGGTTTATAGATCATATATACTATTACTTGGCAATTCTATGAAGCTATTATTAGAATTATCATAATTCTAATAAAGTATGTATATGTTTTTTTTTTTAATATTAATGGTAAGACCATGTCTCTATTTTTATTAAATATTTAATCGAGATTTTATATAAAATATAATTCTGTTTTTAAAATATTATAGAAAGAATAGAAGCTCAGACTAATTTATCTGTAACCTAAACCAACTAGAGTGACCAATTCTCATCTAGATTTGGTTGTTAGTAATTATATATAGAAGATTACTTTGATATTTAATCCATTAGATATACTAGAAGTTTATTTTTGAACTAATAAAGTTGAGTGAAGGAGAATGTGATGGAGATAAGGCAGTATTTAGAAGTGTATTGTATTCTAGAAGTTGAACTATAGATCTTGAGATGCAGTATGGAATTTAGATTTTATGATAAATTTGTTGATTAAGATAAAATAAGAACTTGATAATTAGTGTTGTGATTATTTTTTTAGATGACAAACTTGCAATAATGTTGATAAGTTCATTTGGTATTAAACAAGTTAGAGTTAAGAAAACTAAAAGTAAGTCTGATATACTGTAAATAGTCATACTATTTGACAGCTTAATTTGGTTATATAAATTAATTATACTATTTGAAATAGTGTCAAGTGTTTTAGTATTTAAAGTATGTTGTAATGAAATGTCTATAAGACTGTATAGCAAATGATTAGATAGGCAAGTTGTCTAGTAAAGGTGGAAACTGATTTGATAACAATGATAACAAATAGGTAAGTATATGTGATTTTGTTTGTGTAGAATATGTGAAGTAGGAAGATCATTTAGTAGAATTTTAATTTTAAAGGATTTAAGAATAGAAGACTAAAAACTATGTGAGAAGTTTGATATTTTTTGGTTATTATTGATGTATAGTCAGGTGGCTTGCTAATTAACTTGGTTAAGGATTTTGTGCCATTTTTGAAAACAATTTTGTGTAATTCATAGTATATAAATATGTGTATGACATATTGTACAAATATTGTGATGAATAGGTAGTTCTAAAGAAATGTTTTTGAAATTTTAAGTGTATATAGAATTGTAAATATTATAAAACATGAAGATAAGATATGGCAGGTTGTGGTAACTGTGTGCAAGTTGGTTTGCAAGATTATTGTACTGATCATTTTGGTGAGCAGTAACTTTGTAAAAAATAATATAAATATTGTATGATTTAATAAAGTTAATAAGTGTGTTCTATAATAAAAAATATGATATATATGTATAGAATAAAGTATGGATTGAGTTTAGAAGACTGTAATATTTAGAGATTACAGACTGTGAATCAGTATATATATGTATAGTACTGTCCCTAAAAGCAGTAATAAGAGCTGATAAAATAGTAGTAAGCTCAGACTTAAATGAACAAGGCCAGTATCTAGTTTGGGCTTAGAATGTATGTAGTATATTGTGTTTAAAATTTGGGCCCATCTGATACCCATTGAGTATTGTAAAGTACCTAGGTTAATGACAAAGCAATCTGTATAAAAATGAAATTCTGATAGTTATGAATTATAGTTGGCAATTTGTTGAAAGTTGTTTGTTAAAGTGCTAGGTTCAAATATAGTTGGAATTAGGTTTGTTGTAATGTTGATATTAGGGGGGTTAGAGATTTGAATAGGATGTCAAATTGCAATAGAGTATATAAGGTCAAGGTGATTGGCATTGAAGTTAAGAGATTTGTTATATGTATTAATTCAACTAAAAATTCTGAAAAAAAAGATTGATAGGAATGTTAATTGTATATTTATTAGCAATTGTATGAGAGTTAAGAGAGTAACCTGAGCATGTTTGTAATTGAATAGATAAAAGTGAATATAGATAAGTAAATCATTGTTCTATATGGCATTGCCAGTAAGTAATAAGAATGGTTTCTGAAGAAGAGAGTTGTCTTCTGGCTTTTTCAATAATAATTTGATTACTAAATACTGTAATGAGTCATGGTTTTTTTTATAAAAAAAAGTGTTCAGTTGAATAACTATAGTAATTAATGCTAGGTAGGTGTAAATGTTGATGAAAAGTATAATTATATAACTGGCTTGTGTTTGGTTTTCTAGGTAGCTAAACCAAAGTAATAGTTTGCCTATAAAAATTTTGTTTATACATGAAGA